ATTTCAGTATTTGGAACCCTATCAGTCACATCCCTTTCTACACTGTATTGTACCGCTTTTTAAAAAATTTTTTAGGCGCGCCTGGGTGGCTCAGTCGTTTAGCGTCTGCCTTCGGCCCAGGTCATGGTCCCGGGGTCCTGGCATCAAGCCCCGCATCGGGCTCCCTGCTTGGTGGGAAGCCTGCTTCTCCCTCTCCCACTCCCCCTGCTTGTGTTCCCTCTCTCGCTGTGTCTCTTTCTGTCAAATAAATAAAATCTTTAAAAAAATAATTTTTTTAAAGATTTATTTATTTTAGAGAGCAAGAGAACACGAGGAGAGGGAGAGAGAATCCCAAGCAGACTCTGTGCTGAGTGCAGAGCCTGATGTGGGGCTTGAGCTCATGACCCCGAGATAATGACTTGAGCCGAAACCAAGAGTCGGATGTTTAACCGACTGTGCTGAAGCGCCCCTACATTTTTAAGTTTGTTTATTTTTAATTGAAGCGTAGATGACGGTACTACATTATGTTAGTTTCCAGTGTGCATAGTGATTCAATACTTATATACACATTATGAAATTCTTACCAGGATTAAGTATAGTTAACCATGTGTCACCATACAAAATTATTAAAACATTACTGACTGTGTTACCCCTGCTGTACTTTACATCTCTGACTGTAACTGGAAGTTTGTTCCTCTTAATCCTGTTTACCTATTTGCTTCTCTCTGCTGCAGCCACAGTTCTATGTATTTATGAGTCTGTTTCTGTCTTGTGTTTGTTCATTTGTATTGTTTTTTAGATTCAACATATCAGTAGAAATAACATGGTATTTGTTTTTCTCTTTTTTCATGGTAGCATAGTAACCTGCCTCTAAGTCTATCTGTGTTGTTGCAAATGGCACGATTTCATTCTTTTTTATGGCTGAGTAATACTGCTGTGTGTGTGTGTGTGTATATGTAGGTGTGTGTATCATATCTTTATCCATTCATCTGTCAGTGCACACTGAGATTGCTTCCGTATCTTGGTTATTGTAAATAATACCATAGTAAACAAGGGTGCATATATCTTTTCAAATTAGTATTTTCATTTTCTTGGAGCAAATACCCAGAAGTGGAATTATTGAATACCATAGGATCCAGTATTTCTATTTTTAATTTTTTTAGGAACCTCCTTACTGTTTTCTACAGTGGCTGCACCAACTTACATTCCCACCAACAGGGCATGAGGGTTCCCTTTTCTCCACATCCTTGCCAAGACTTGTTATTTTTTGCCTTTTGGATACTAGCCCTTCTGACAGGTGTGAAGTGATATCTCATTTTGGTTTTAATTTGCATTTTAAAAAATATTTATATATTTATTAGAGCAAGCACGAGTTGGGGGAGGGCCAGAGGGGGAAGGGAGCCTTCCCACTGAGCAGGAAGCCTCACCTAGGGCTCAATCCCAGGACTCCAAGATCATGAGCTGAGCTTGAAGGCAGACACTTAATTGAGACACCCAGGACCGTTAATTTGCATTTTTTGATGAGTAAAAATATTGAACATTTTTTAAAAGTGTTAGCCATCTCAGTGTCTTCTTTAAAAAAAATGTCAGTGGTGCACTTGAGTGACTCAGTTAAGTGTCCAACTCTTGGTTTTGGCTCAGGTCACAATCTCAGGGTCCTAGGGTCAAGCGCCAAGTCAGGCTCTGTGCTCAGCATGGAGTCTGCTTGAGTTGCTTTCCTCCTCCCTCCCCTGCTCCAGTGCTTCTCCTCTGTTACTGCCCCTGCTTGTGCATGTGCGCTCCCTCTTGCTCTCTCTCAAATAAATAAAATCTTAAAAACTGTCTATTCAAGTCCTCTGCCTTTTTATTTTTATTTTTTAAAGATTTTATCTCTTGGGCGCCTGGGTGGCTCAGTTGGTTAAGCGACTGCCTTCGGCTCAGGTCATGATCCTGGAGTCCCGGGATCAAGTCCCGCATCGGGCTCCCTGCTCAGCAGGGAGTCTGCTTCTCCCTCTGACCCTCTTCCCTCTCGTACTCTCTCATTCTCATTCTCTCTCTCTCTCAAATAAATAAATAAAGTCTTTAAAAAAAAAAAAAAAAGATTTTATCTCTTTGAGAGAGAGTGTGCGCTGGCACAAGGTGGAGGAGGAGGAGGGATCAGCAGACTCCCTGCTGAATGCAGAGCCTGAAGAAGAGCTTGTCCTGAGCCAAAGTCAGACACTTAACCAACTGAGCCACCCAGGCGCCCCTCCCCGCCCATTTTTTAATCAGATTGGGGGGTTTTTGGTGTTTTATGAGTTCTTTATATATTTTGGATATTAATCCCTTACTGGATATATCATTTGGAAATATCTCCATTCACTAAGTTGCCTTTTTATTTTATTGGTGGTTTCCTTCACTGTGCAAAAGATTTTTTAGTTTGATGTAGACCCAGTTGCTTTTGTTGCTCTTGCCTGCCTACACAGACAAATCCAAAGAAATAGTGCTGAGAGGGATAGCCAAGAATTTACTGTCTATATTTTTGTTGAGGAGTTTTATGATGTCAGGTCTTATTACATTTTACATTGAATTGAGTTCATTTTTGCATATGGTATGAGAAAGTGGTCCAATTTAATTTTTTCTCTCATGTAGCTGTCCATATTCTCAGCACCATTTATTGAAGAGACTCCCTGCTGTTGTAGATTCTTGCCATCGTATTTTTTAAGATTTTATTTTTATTCATTTTGACAGAGACCGCGAGAGAGGGAACACAAGCGGGGGGGTGGGGGAGGGAGAAGCAGGTTTCCCGCCAAGCAGAGAGCCCGATGCGGGGCTCTATCCCAGCACACCCTGGGATCATGACCTGAGCCAAAGGCAGACGCTTAACGACTGAGCCACCCAGGTGCCCCTTGCCATTTTTTTTTTTTTAAGTTTTTATTTTTTTAAGTAGTCCTTACACCCAACATGGATGGCTTGAATCCACAACGTGGACGTCAAGAGTTGCATGCTCCTCCTACTTAGCCAGCCAGGCGCCCCTGTTGCCTTTTTTATCATAGGTTAATTGGTTTTAATATGCACATTTTAACAATATTATTTCTTCCAGTCCATGAGCATGTTGTATCTTTCCATTTATTTGTGTCCTCTTCAGTTTCTTTTATCTGATAGTTTTCAGAGTACAGGTCTTTCACCTTCGTGGTTAAATGTATTTCTAATTATTTTGTTCTTTTTGGTGTAGCTATCAGTGGGATTGTTTTCTTAATTTCTCTTTCTGCTGTTTTGTTATTAGTGTATAGAAACATAATAGATTTTTGTATCTTAATTATGTGTCCTGAAACTTGACTGAATTCATTTCTTCTAATAGTTTTTTGGTGGAGTCTTCAGGGTTTTGTGTATATAATATGTCATCTGTTTGTTTTTTCTGTTTCTTAATTTTCTTTCCAATTTGGATGCCTTTTATTTCTTGTCTCATTGCTGTGGCTAGGACATCCAGTACTGTATGGAGCAAAGGTGGCGAGAGTGAGCATCCTTGTCTTGTTCTGATCTTACGATGTTATGAGTATGATGTTAGCTGTCGGTTTGTTATATATGGCCTTTATTATGTTGAGGTATGTTCCCTCTAAACCCACTTTGTTGAGAGTTTTTATCATAAATGGATGTTGAATTTTGTCAAATGCTTTTTCTGCATGTATCAAGAGAATCATGATTCCTACTTCGCCTTTTATTTGGTTAATTTCGTGTGCCATGTTGATTGATTTGCAGATACTGAATCATTGTATCCTTGGAATAAATGCCACTTGATCATGGTGAATAATTATTTTAATGCATTGTTGATAACACTTAATTTTGTTTTTGATAACACTTGTTTTAAATCTGCAAGTGAGGGGCACCTGAGTGACTCAGTTGATTAAGCGTCTGCCTTCAGCTCAGGTCATGATCCCAGGATTATGGGATCAAGTCCCGCATCGGGTTCCCTGCTCAGCGGGGAGTCTCTTCCCTCTCCCTTTGCGCCTTCTCCCTGCTTGTGCTCTCTCTCTCTCTCTCCCCCTCTCTCTCAAATAAATAAATAAAATTTTAAAAAGAAATAAATCTGCAAGTGAGTACTTACTATCGCCTAAGCACTGTGGAGGCGGGGAGGTTTGGAGAAGTATGACATCCTCCCAGTCTTCAAATTGAAGATCGAGAAAATCAGTTGTCACTGCTTTGTTTTATTTTGCAGTGTAACTGAGGAAATTATGAACTTTTTAAAGAAATCATAAATACTCTAGCTGAGTATCTTTTCTTATAGGAGATTCAGATGATTTTTTTAAAAAAGATTTTATTTATTTGACAGAGTGATAAAGCACAGGCAGAAGGAGCAGCAGAGGAGAGAGAGAAGCAGGCCTCCCGCGGAGCAGGGAGCCCAATGTGGGGCTTGATCCCAGGACCCTGGGACCATGACCTGAGCCGAGGGCAGACGTTTAACGACTGAGCCACCCAGAGGATTGTTTTCATGCTGATGTAGGATCTGGACTCCAGATCTCTTGAATGTCATACTTGTTCATTGTTTTCTTTGTATCAGTCTAAGCTTATAGTTTGTCTTTTGGGAATTCTATGATCAGATAACTCTGCTGTGTTTTGTTTTGCAATTCTAGGGTGTGGCGTGAGTTGTAATGGTGAGAGCCCAGGTGATGGAGAGGTTTCTTATTTTGATCTTGCACTTGGCTGTTGCCTGTCAGTTACAGCTCAAGCTCTGGGTCCTCGCAGCATCTCCTGGTTTTTCCAGCTTTTACCTTTGTTCCCAGGCTTTACCTCCAGTCCAAGAAAACTGGCTTCCTTCCAGACAAAGGGAGAACTAGGAAATGTCCTACAGTGCCATTTTTGGTTTAACTCGGAGTACAGATTTTTGTCTTCAGACTTTTGGGCTATAAGTATTATTAAATTGCAATGTTGAAGCTAATCAGTTATTTTTAAGACTTTCAGTTAAAAGCCCAGGAGGATAATTTCAGGCTTCATTTCTGGGAAACATACATGCTGGTATTGTTTGTTTTTTAAGCTTAGTAAAGTTTTAAAATTTGTTATTCTAGGAACTCAACAGAGGCAGTTGTTATCCCGACTGCAAATTGACCCAGTAATGGCAGAAACTTTACAGATCAGTCAAGGTTGGTAATAATCTTAAATTTTCATTGTAATTTAGCATTTTTCAGTTGCTATTTCCATTTCTTGCACCTCATTTAATGTATCTTGTATATCTTAGATCCTGCCCTAAGATGCTGTATTTAGATTGTGAAAATATTTTAGGGCCAGGAGACAAGATCTGCATTTTCTTCATGTTTTTTGGTGTTTGTATTTTTCGTCTCATTCAAAAACTTTCTTGCTTTGGTGCCGTTTCACCTGAGTCTCTGGAATCTTCTGGCTGTCGCTCCCCTCTAGGGACAACTCAGATCCTTACCCTGCTCTCCTTTCTACCCTACTTTTCCAGTGTCCTGAGCTGCTCTGCTGTCTGTAGCCTGTTCAGCCTTATCCTCACTTTCATTTCACTTTAGAATCTCCTCACCAGGGCCACACCGAGAACTTGTTGTTCTCAGAGACCCCGTAGCTTAATTTTTTGCCCGTTCCCCTTCCCCCCCCTCAGCATAGACACGTCAGCCAGGGGCTACCTCAGGACAGGGTCAAGTGCCTTGTTTATCTCTGCACTCTCCAGTGCCCAGCCCCTGCCACATGCATGTATAGTCCCCAGGAAATGCTGCCCACGTGAAGGGGGCCATTGGACGCCTGCAATCTTCGGTTCAGAAACCTTCTTTTTTCTGTTTCCTTCTATTTCCCCTACACCTGCCCGTTGTTGGAATCTCTGGTGCCTTGACCCCTCCCTGTGGCTCTTCCCCTTTGGTCAGGCTTCCACAGTCAGTAGGCATATTCCCTTACCCCATCTAGCTCTGTCTCAGAGAGAGGAACTTGTCCTCTCGCAGGGTTGCCTTCCACCCAGAAGCCAGATCCTCCCCAGGTGATGAACACTGGAGTGCCCCCACACTCCTGTAGTTTTAGTCTCGGCCTCTTTCCTGGCTTCTCCTCTCTCAGTGTTCAGATACCCTCCATTCTTGATTTTGCCCTGTCATCTCTCCACATTCCATCCTGCTTTCCACATAAGGGTATTTTCTTTCAAAATGTCTGGCGGCTAAGCTCTGTGTATGTTGTATCCACTTCATTGGCACTTGCACATTCTTTTTTGTCTCCTTTAATGTTTCTTTTTTTTCCATGGTGCACATGCAGTTTGAAGCATGTTTGAAGTCCTGCGAGGCTTACGAGTGACTGCATTCCTTGCCTACGTCCCGTCACGGGTTTTATCCCCCAGAGCCCTCGTTTCCGCATATTCCTTTTATTTAATTTCTCACATACTGACTTGGTTTCACATATGCAGCGCTCTCTGCGATTTCTGATACCTATATCTAATATCTGAGGATATTAAAGATAGTGTTGGGTATTTTTTCCCTTCCCTTCTTGGTCTTATTTTCTCCAAGTTTGTTTCAGTTGCTGTCTTTTCTGACAGGTTTTCCTCAGATGTCTAGGGATCCTTGGTTGTCTTATATTTATGAGTGGGACACTCGAAAAGCTGATTGGCATTCCGGGTTCATTAGTCTGGGTGGTGGGCTTTTGACTTCACATCTGAATATAGATCCTGCAGCGAAGAGTCATTTGTCTCTCTAATTTAGGGGCACCGTGAGGTCACCGTCTTTAGGCTTTTCTTCTTGGCCTGGTTAGCTTCTCCAAAGAAAGATCTTTCAGAGTAGTGGATGGATTGGCTGTCAGCGTTCTGGGAGCTAAGTGAGGAAAAGGGGCTGGGAGACGCACCTCAACTTTAATTACTATGTGATGCTTGCTTAACACCCCCTCCCAGTTCTCAGAATGGTACTTCTCTCAATGTGGCTGGCATCCCTTGGCCCAGAGACTCTCTGTTTTGACCTTTCCAAGAGTCTTAAGCTTCCCTCTTCTCCAAGGGAAAAATAGTCGAGGGTTATCAGGAAATCTAAATGCTTTTAAAAATTTTAATAGTATACATATAGCTTATGTTTTTGCAGCACTGTTCTGTCAAAGTGATGATGCTTCATTTATAGGCCACTCCAGCATTGACCACCAGGAAAGCATGTCTCCAGCTATTCCAAAAAACTTGAATATAGAGGTTAGGGGATCCCAGTATGATAGGGATCAGAAATGAAGAAAACAAATTCCTGGCTCAGGAAGACATGACTGCTTCTGGAACGGACCTTGGACACACCTGTATTGGCCTTGTCTTCCCCTCTGCCCAAGGTCCGCCGTGCTGCCAGTTACCCAGCCTTTGGAGACTCTTGGGATCCACATTGAATTGTTTCATTATTGGCTTAAGACTCAGCTTTTGAAGACCTTAGTTTTTCACTTTAAAAACGTGGATGTCTCCTTTTACAGTTATTTTCTTTGTGAGTCTATGTTTCAGTGAATTAACCCTTTGTTGACATTTTGGTGGGGTTTTAGGAGGAAACCAAATGCATGGGTTCAGCCGGTAGTCTGTACCCAGAAGATGTCACTAACTCTCGCGTCTGTCCGCTCCTCTCTGACCCAGGTGATACCGTGAACCTTGTAGAAGTGACTAGTGGCTTATGTGGAATGAAAAGCTGTTTTCAGTGTTCACTTTTCTAAACTCTGTAGTATGTGACGCGTCATTCCCATGTTTTTTTAAGTCTTTGGCTTCCAGGACGTCACGATCTCTGTTCTTCTACCAATTCCATGTCATTCTCCTTTATCACCTCCTCTCCTCCCGTACTACCCCTGGAAATGTTCATTTTATCCTGTGTCCTACCCTTAGCATTATTTTCATCTCTTTTATATTCTCCCAAGATGCAAACTGGTAGAACTGCTTTGCCTCAAAAAGGGCTGGGTGGTGAGAAGAAAGGCAGCAGCCTTGGACTAAGTTCCGGACTCTACCTTTGCTAGGTGGGAGCCCTCAGTGAGCCCCTGGAGAACAGCGAGTCGCCTGTGGGTCTCCTGTAACGGAGGAGGGAGGTCTCCCGCTCAGGCTCCCCACGAGAGACGGCGGTGCTGGACGTGTGTGCTTTGATTCAATGCTGCTTTGGCCTTCAGTTGGAATGCTGCTTCTCTTATTTCTCTCGCCTCTTACTTCAACTTCTGAACGTCTGAGAGCCCCACAAAGACTTCAGACTAAATAAATCTAAAATTGAAATTTATCCTGCCCCCTTTTCAGTCCTCTCTTTCGCCTGTCCTGTTTCCTGGATCCAGTTGCTCTCCTTTCGCTGTCCTCCATCTTCATCTTTACCCTCTCCGGCCCTCGTGGGAGAAGGCCACTCTGCTTCGTTCCTAGGATGGGAGTTGAACATGCAGCTGCTGTGAGGTGCCAGGGCTGCTGAGGTGTGTGCAGTGTGTCTTCTCTCCCTCCTGTGTGGGCTCAGACAGGACAAAGATTGAGAATCTTTTAATTTGGAGCCTCACTGTGTCTCCTGGGCAACAGCCTAGTAACTGAGCTCTAGGACTGCCTTCCATACTACCTGTTCTCCCAAAAACCAGTTTGGTCATGTCATTTCCCTCCTGAGAAACCTCTCTTGATTCTTGATGACTTCTACATCAGAATCCAAACTCACTGACACATACAAGATCCTTTCTGCCTCAGCCTTCCCTGCCACTCAGCCCGCCCCGCACCCAGCCTTCCATCCACACCACGTTTCTCAGCAGGTCTTAGATTCCTTGTGTCTCATGGAAGCCTCTGCCTCCACGCTGTTTATTGTTGAGCTCGTTGCTGCCCAGCCTGGTTATCCCTGCTCATTTCCTTTAACATCTGCTTCCAATGTCCATCGTCTGTAGGCTTTGTCGGGATTTCCTAGCTGGAGTAGGTTTCCTGTATTCTACCAAAACTTGGTTCTTACTCCTTTAGGATTAGCTTTTAGGGTATGCTGTTCTGAAATTGTGTGTACATCTATTTTTCTATTTTTTCTTCTTTGTGTACCTAGCACAGTGTTCAGTTCTCAGGATTTTGGTTTGTTCAGGTGAATGAACGTGAATGTACATCCTGTAGATTTTGGTCTCTTATTTGCCTATTAACCGTAAGAGAAGTGCAACTCATTAACTTCTGTCAACGGATGGCATATCAATAGGTCAACCATCTCCACTCTGGGCTCTTGGCATATTTTATGAAGCAGTCAGGGTTAAGAAGCATACTATAGATGGCATGAACTGTGGTTATTTGCACTGACGGTCAGTGTTTTCTTTGCTGTATTTTTTTTTTTTTCCAGTATAGTCTTCTTGGTACAACCAGGCAGGAATTATGCCAGGTGAATTCTTTTCATCAGGACATGTTCTCTCTCAGTGGTACTGTGCAAAATGAACAAAACATTTTAGAAAAATTTTTAAGCAGCCTTCATATCATAGTTCGAGGGAATATGAGGATTTTTCTTTATAATTTTAGAAGATATTATGATACTTAGAGTAAGTTTGTATTGTTCATATCCCACTAGATGAGAACCTTTCTGTACCGTAGGCAGGGAGTATTGATTAGAAGCCCCAGGTAATGGCCTGTTACAAGGAAAGGAATACTTCCTTGAAAAGGTGTTTGGCACAGAATTGCAGCGCTATTCCTGGGTAGAACCGTTGTGATTTTCCTTTGAAAAAATTACAAATATATAAAAGATTGACATTCTTCTCACGTGTGTGATGTTGGGAATGCAAGGTATATTCAAAAGTAAACATTTATGGCCAATTTTTTTGGCTCAGATTACTATGACATGGAATCCATGGTCCATGCAGACACAAGATCATTTATTCTGAAGAAGCCAAAGCTGTCTGAGGAAATAGTAGTGGCACCAAACCAAGAGTCGGGGATGAAGACCGCAGATACCCTTCGGGTACTTTCAGGACACCTTATGCAGACACGGTAGATGGTTTCTTTTTCTTGTGTAGCTTTTTTGTGTTGATTAGATAGTGCAGGTTAACGTGAGTTCCCAGCTTCCCTCTTCCCCATCCCAGCCCCCAGTGTAGAGTGCGTTTATTGAGTCAGGCGGTAGGCCATGAATAAATAGTAAGCCAAATTCAGTTTTCAGAAATTACAGTTCATCTTTCTTGTTCAGAAATCTGTTAACCTACAAATAAGTCCATGTATGATTTAGCTCTGTAAATAAGATTCTTTCCTTTAAGCACATCCGGGAAATGAAATTTAAAAGCCAGGTGATCAAAATCAGGAAATCTCTGCACAGAGAGATCAGGTTGGGGTGATTCCTCCCTTAGAAAATGGACTAAATATTCTGTAAAGTAACAAACATACAGATAATATAATCAGTATAAATATAGAACTGCTGGCCACGTGTTCTGAGCATAGATGCTGATTTTTCAGTTTATTTCCACGTGACCCTGTGAAGATCAAACGGACAATGGTGTTTAGGGTGGAGGGGAGATTGTCCTTAGTGCAGCCTGGAGGGTCGCTGGCTGTGCCACCACAGCAACTGGCCGTGGCCACGGTGTCATAGCGGAAGCCACCGGGGCTGTACCTGGAAGTCCTCCTGAGTTTGTTTGGTTGGTTTTTTTCCTACTGAAGAGACCACCACCAAGTAAGGGAGCGATAGTTCTGCTGAAGAGCACTGTAGGAGGCTCAGCGTTTTGTGTTTGTTTCCCTAATTCTATGGTATTTTCTATCTGTCTGGCAGAGATCTTGTACAACCAGATAAACCTGCAAGTCCCAAGTTTATAGTGACGCTGGATGGTGTCCCCAGCCCCCCAGGATACATGTCAGATCAAGAGGAGGACATGTGCTTTGAAGGAGTGAAACCTGTAAACCAAACTGCAGCCTCAAACAAGGGACTCAGAGGTCTCCTCCACCCACAGCACTTGCAGTTGATGAGCAGGCAGCTCGATGACCCAAATGGTAGCTTTTCAAATGGTGTGTTGAGAGCTCAGATTTTCCCTTTCCAGGGTGCTGTCATTGTGCAGGAAATCTGGGACCGGTCTCTCTACCTGGAATGAATATTGGTTGGAGGCCTCGCTCTTAATCGTAATTCAGTAGCGGCCTCTTTTCTTCCTTCAGACAAAACAATGAGTTCTATCCGTAGTGGGCACCGCTCCCGGGCTACCATGGGCTCAGCCGTGAAAGCCAAAGTACCTCTTAACCATGCCTGTGAAAGGATCAGCCTTTGTTCTTGCTACCTTGTTTCCTTTTTTTCCTTTAGAAACTATACTTGTTACTGTCCCTTTGTTGTAACAATAATAGTCTCTTATAATTAACTTGACAGAAAAATGAACTTGGATTTTGATTCTATTTATACCTCAGTGAAATTCCCTTGAAAGGAGTTTCTCACCTAATCTATCAAGATACTGCTGGGAAGTGTAGCAAACTAATTTATGTTTAAATTAATAAATATTGAAGCATAGTATTTAGTAGGAGCAAGATGAACTCTGTTCAGATAACAGCCTGCTTTTAGGCAGATGATTCGTTACCACTGGCTATTCTCTCCCTGGGCCTGGTGTCAGGTGCACAGACTGCTGGACGTTTTCATTTGTGACAAGAGAATGGTGGTTGTGTTCCTTCTGTCTTGTAAGATGTTTAGAAACACCTTTATTGGGAGGGGAGACAATTACTGAAGCTTAAAAATGAATAGCGAAGCAAAGAAAAAACAGCAATGGTGGGTTTTGATATTTTTCCAAGTTAATCCTCTTGGCAGAGACATGAAGATGTATTCAGTACCTTTTTCAGTTGCTAAAAATACAATAGCTTTTAGAGGGAGATCATGAGTGAGCGAGGAGATACTACTGTTGAACTGAAAGCTTTTTTGCCTCAGTCAGTAATATAATGTCCTAGTTTTGATTGGTGGAGGGAATTGAAAGTCTGTATCAAAAGGAAGAAAAAATTTTAAATGGTAACAAAGATGGTTAGGAACTGCCATAGTCATGCAGTACAGATTTCCTGAACCTGCGTATTTTGTCTCAAATGAGAGAAAAAGGGTCTAATTTTGTCTAAATGTAGATGTCCATGTTAGGCTTTATTGGTGTCTATGTCCTAGCAGCGCCCCTCTAAAGAGCACGTTAGACTTCTTGTCTCGGTTTCACAAGTGCCGTGGCCCTTCTGGAGGCCAGGGGAATGAGCGGCGGGCCTCCTGTGCCGTTGCTTTGATCTGGGACTCTCACTGGTTCACTGCTGCTCAAGGATGAAGCTTTGGAATAGTTGGAACGTAAGTTGAGGCCCAAGAGACTGAGTAACAGTCACAGAGAGGCTCTGGTCCTTCTTGTTCTTCCCCTCCAAGCAGGGAATTTGAAACTTGGTGATTGCTTTTGCTGGCTTTTTGTCCAGTGTTTCAAGGATGCTGTCAACAGCATTCCCTGCCCTCCCCCACCCCTGGAATGGCAGCACAGGTTTTATAACTTGCAATAAAAAGTGAATTTGCCTAATCTTAAACAGGAAAATTTTTAATGGCTTATGAGGTTAACATTGGGGAAAACCAGAATCGAGACCTCTTGTATATATGACCCAACATTTCCATTAGAAAGATAATGTTTCCTTGTATTTAATATTGCCCATGAGTATCTAACTACTTCATTTTCCAGCCAACCTGTTCCTGAGTATTCTGTTAACTTCTTTCATTTGGCCTGGGTTCCCATGTATATACCATAGTCTAAGGTATGTTCTTTAGGAGGGGAGGGTAAGACACATTTCCTGCAGGCAGGATATTAGACACACTTAAAATTGGAGAAAACTGCTCTTTCCAGCCATGCAAGATTTTATTGGAGACTAAGAATACCTTTATATCCTGGAGCTAAACAGTGACTTTTACTATTTTAAAAGTAGCATGGAAAACTGTATATCAGACATAGTTGTGGGTTTTTTGTGGCCTTTTTAAAGATTTTATTTATTAGCATGAGTGGAGGGGAGGGGGCAGAAGCAGAAGCAGACTCCCCGCCGAGCAGGGAGCCCGATGCGGGGCTCGATCCCAGGACCCTGGGACCATGACCTGAGCCGAAGGCAGACACTTAACCGACTGAGCCACCCAGGTGCCCCCGGGATAGTGTTACAGGAGCCCTTTCATAGTCCTCCTGTCTAGGCTCCAGGACTGGATTTGTGTGCCTTGTTCTCCTGTAATGAAGACTGAGGTTGGGTCACTAGATCAGTAAGTTCTCAGAATACCAGCTGCTGCACTGTTAGGTTTTGATTGGTCGCCTACTTTGTATTTTTGTTTCCATTCAGTCATAAAACTCTAAGGAAGACATTATTTTCTTCTTGCATAGATAAGGAAACTGAAGTTGAGGTACTAGGTAAGACTTGTCCAGAGGGTCTAGTTCAGCTAAGTTACAGAGCCAAATTTGAACTGCCTGATCTCAGGCAAGAGGAATAGAGCAATGGGGTTGAAATGTTGTTTGCTTTTATAGTTACGAATGTGAACCCTAATTTGTAACACCCATGATGCTTTTTTTTTTTTTTAAAGCTAGGGTGTTTTGGTCCAGAAGTTGTCAGGTCATTATGGCCTTTGGGTGTGAATTTTTGGCCTTTTTACATTTTAAATGGGCATTAGTTGCCTGCATTTAAGCTTTGTATGTCATATAAAAAGGTTTTTGGCTTTCTCTGAATCCGGAGACAATCTGGAAGCACAGGCCCACTCCCACGCCCTAGTAATTGACATTGTCATTGGCCACAACCCCGAGAGGGAGTGGAAGGCAGGCAGTGAACCCTGTGGATGGTGCATGCACTTGCTCTCCTGGTTGCTCTTACCCACCTTTGTTTCCTCCCCACCCCAAGGCTTTCTGCCACTGATCACCTATCCAGCCAGGCTCACTGCTGGGTGATCTGGTGGGCCCCTGGAGGTAATGACATTTGTGACCCATTTTAAGCAAGAAGCTTTTCCTCACATTGATGTGAGTTTATCACCTGGACTTAGAACTGTGTATACCTCAGTGAGCGGGAACACTTTTGTGTATGAACCACTCATAATGTCTGAACGTGAGAATTTGTTCACATTTTTTTTTTTTTTTAAGATTTATTTGAGAGAGCATGAGGACGGGGAGGGGCAGACGGAGAGGGAGAGAGAATCCTCAGGCCGACTCCCTGCTAGGCTTGATCCCAGGACCCCAGGTTCATGACCTGAGCCAAAGTTGGATGCTTAACTGACAGAGCCACCCAGGCACCCCAGTTCATATTCTTTTTCACCTTTGTGTTTGCAGTTTTCATTTCATTTTATTGGCTCCCTACTTGGACATCCTTCCCCACCCCCCTCATATTTTAATTCAGTTCTGAAATAATACTGAGCAGGGGTTTGGGGTGAGAACTTTGGCTCTAGTTGCAGCATCCCTATCTGGTTTGCTTTTCACAATGAGAACTGCAGTGTGCTTCCTGGTGACCTTTTCTGGGAGGCTCTTGCCTGTGTTACCCAGAATGTCAGACTCCTTTATTTTGTATGATCATAGACATGGAAGAACATAAGATTTTAAGACTGGGTTTTGAGGGAAATGTATTAAAGGTGCCATATACTGAATTGATCGTAATAAATGAGATACTTTTAACTTTTTCCCCTTTTTAGCTGAGATGAGTGAACTGAGTGTGGTCCAGAAACCAGAAAAACTTTTGGAGCGTTGCAAGTACTGGCCTGCCTGTAAAAATGGGGATGAGTGTGCTTACCATCATCCTGTTTCACCTTGCAAGTGAGTAGCAGCAGCAAGCTGATTCTGATCTGCAGGTTAATTTCTAGATCTTAGAGCTGGTTCTGTTTGTTTTTCATTTCTGTGGATGAATTTGATTCGTATAACTAAATGCAGTGACACTTAACCATTGCCCTCCCAGAATAGCATCCTTGTGTAATATCTGTGTGTTTGTTTGAGGGAGTGGGGAGATGGGAGAAGGCTTCTGTACATTTAAGGAGATGGTTATATAACTGCCCTGGTTTGAATGCATTGTATTCATCTACATATCCATAGCTTTCAAGGCACTGGGGACACAATTAGTTGCAGGTAATGTGACAAAACATTTTGGACTTGGGTGTAATTTTTCCTTACCAGTTGGCTGGTTCAATGGCATGATCTTTGAGAGGTGGCTTTTAGATTTTAAAAAAATAAATATTTTGGTCCTAGAGGTGGAGTCTCCATGTTTTGACTTAAGAAATTTGGATGTGAGAATAGTATGGATGTACCTGGAGGGGGAGACCACAGACTGAGTCTTTTTGGAGTGGTGCCTTGCACATATATTATGCTCGGTATATTAAGTTCATAAATTACTGCAAACATAGATCTTACAGAGAAATGGTATGATTCTTAACACAAAAAATCCTTTTCTCTCTCATGGTCATGGCTTGAGTTGAAAATCTCATTACCTTAGGCTTCGGAATAGACTACTGTGTCCTTTTTTGAAATCTGGCCTCATTTTTTTTTTTAATATATTCATTTGAGAAAGAGAGCACAAACGGGGAAGGGCAGAGGGAGAGGGATAAGCAGACTCCCCACTGAGCAGGGAGCCCGACTCGGGGCTCGATCCCGGGACCCTGGGATCATGACCTGAGCTGAAGGCAGAAGCTTAACCGTCTGAGCCACCCAGGCGCCCCAGATCTGGCCTCATTTAAAAACTGAGTTTCCCGGGGCATCTGTCTGGCTCAGTTGTTAGAACATGTGACTCTTGATTTCTGGGTTGTGAGTTCAAGCCCCACATTGGGCATAAAGCATAGTTTAAGAAAAAATTGAGTTTCCCTTTTTTCTATTCTGCGTTTCTCAAAAAAGTAGTAATGGAATATAAGGAGTCTCTCTACAAAACAAACAAACAAACAAACCCTAATGCATTGAGAAGATTAAATGTGAATAATGTTTTTGTTTTATAGAGCCTTCCCCAATTGTAAATTTGCTGAAAAATGTTTGTTTGTTCATCCAAATTGTAAATATGATGCAAAATGTACTAAACCAGATTGTCCCTTCACTCATATGAATAGAAGAATTCCAGTACTGCCTCCAAAACCAGGTTAGTGACGTTGTGCACTACTACAGTAGGTAAAAAATGGAAAATGACATTTTGTGATCATCAACTGAGTTTAAAAGGGAATAATCTTAGAAATTATCATGCTAGAATCAGTTAACCTAACCAGTCTTTAAAGAGTAGGTGTGCCTATTTAGTATCATTCTGAAGTATTTTATTTAATGAATATATAAATCTATTTTTAAAATGGGTTTCATAAAAACATGAGTAGATTGCATTACAGATGATTTTGCCGAATTTGATCAATCTTTGCTCTTATATTTGTCAGCAGTTGCAACACCAGCCTCACCTTCTAGTAGTCAGCTGTGCCGTTATTTCCCTGCTTGTAAGAAAATGGAATGTCCCTTCTATCATCCAAAAGTAAGAATTTTCATTTTCCCAAAAAATGATTTAGTGACAACTTTTCAATTCTGAGGCCTGGAAGAGCACTAGCAAATTGAGTATCTTGTGTGTCCATGGTCTTCCCTTGCCTACCCTCCCCCCCAATCTGTTTTTGTTAATGTTCTGGTCTTTAAGACCTTGAGGTTCTTAGTTGTATGAGCTCCCATCTGGTCCTTTAGGGTAAGTGGTCTGAACCAGAGGTTAATGTTCTAGGCTCTCAGAGTGAAGCTTCACTTTGCTTAGTTTCCATTCCTCTCTGCAGCTAAGCACATGGGTGGGGTTTTTTCGCCCCCACCTCGTGTCAGAAACAGAGATGATGAAGTCCAGTTGTACTTGTGCTGATGGTTTTAATTTTCTCTGTGCTATAAAGATGGATGTGTCTCCACCTGTTGAGTTGCTCAGAGTGAATGATCTCTCTGGCTGTCACTCCCCCCCCACCCAACTGCAGTTGGGCATAAATGAGGGTGTCCGGGGCACGATGGATAGAGAGGATGTTGGGCTGATAAGCAGGGTGATTAGAAGTTGGTACTGTATACTGAGGTTCCTTTTGAAATCTTTGAATAGAATCTTGTGTCGGGGCGGGGGGTGTTATTTGTCAAGGTTTCAGTATTAAAATATTGTTAGATTGTATCTCTTGCCCCATTAAATGTTTCAGGTTGCCTTTTTATTTGTATTAGCTTTGCAAATGTTGAGACTGTTGTTTATATTTAGCACTGCAGATTTAATACTCAGTGTACAAGACCTGACTGCACATTTTATCATCCCACCATTACTGTGCCACCACGACATGCCTTGAAATGGATTCGACCTCAAACCAGGTAAAGACTTGGGGGAGATGATCACTTTGATTTTTCTCTACTGTTTCAGTTATACATGGTCCTTGGAAAATGTTTCCAAATTTCGTTTTACCAGTGATTGCTTATTCACCGAGATAACTCCAAATCAGATTTACCTTCTGCGTGTATCCTGCTTACAAATCTCACATCAGTTTTCTTGGCATTACTGATGTAAAACATTGGAAGAAAGTTTTAGTGTGGCCTATAAATTTAAATACACATCATTATTATCTTTTATGTAGTTTTTATATAATTATTTACAAATCTGATACTTACATTGTAAATCTGTAGAACAAATATTCGTTGTGTGAAAATACTCCTTAGCTGGGTATGTATGAATGTAAAGCAGTTAATTAAAATTTTTTGTTTACTCAGTGAATGACAGTCCTACTTGGCAGAAGATTGTGGAGTTTCCATCTACTGGCAAAAATATTCTGCAGAACTTGTCAAACCTTTGAAACTTGGAATATACTGCTTTCATTATACGAAGTTTATTGCCTATCTGAAGTGTCTAATTTTTCAAGTTTGTAAGTTTATTAAGTGGTTTTAACATTGGCTATTTTTTGTTGTTTGACTATGAAAAGACCGTTGAAGGAAAAGCTAAATTCTATTAAAGCATTTGAGGCGTGTTTGTACACTGCTGTTTCAGGTTAGTGTCAGCGCTGGGGCTTCAGTGTTGCTGTGTGTTCAGTGAGAGGGGCATCCTTACCCTAAAAAGTTGGATTTTGTTCACTTTTCCCCAAGGATTAAACAGAGGAGTGGCCAAAAGTGTGGAGACAGCTTAACAAAGTGAATTTAGTTTGAAAAGCATGATAACAACACAGGCTTCTTGGGTTGAGTGCTGCTTTGGTTAGATGGGTCGGGTAAAAACAGAATGGCAAATGCAAAAAAAAAAAAAAAAATGAACAGTTCCTTAAAATGCTTTCATTTACTATTAACATACACTTTTTAAATAAATATTCTGGGGCTGCATTATCACAAAATTATACAAAAGTTTTTTTACAATGATATATACAGAAGGTATCAGAAAACAAACCAAACACAAGATTATACATATATTCTCACATTCTGAAAAAGTAACATTTTCAGAAATAACCACAGAAAATTTTTTAAATGTAAAAATTAGATTTAAATAGTATATTTTAAATGACTAATTACAGAAATCAGATGGGTAAACTGCAAAAACAGGACTAACCTTTCGGACTACTGAATCAGTACACAGTCTTCTGTGTGTGGTTTTTGAAATAGTTAAGGCAAGAAGTGTCAGATGTTTTAGAATTAAATAACCAACGGATCACTGATCTTAAAGACTTGATGTACAGCAATTTTTAAAAAAATAAAGCTAAAAGTTGGCTAGAACAGATCAAATTAATGCAAAAGAGATAAAGACTCAAACATTCTCAGGACCAAATTAACTATGTAAAAAAAAAAAGTTCATTGACTAGTTATATACCCGAGAGATAACAAAACAGCATGTGTAAAAGTCCATGTTTAAGAGCATAAAACCAGCAGTCGTTTTGTGGCCATTGCTTTTCCATTGGGAGAAGAAAGAATTAACCAGTTATTAAACCATCTGTAAGTTGCACTTCGCTGTGCCGATTCCTAAGAAGAACCTTGAAACCACGGACCACGGAAGAGGAAAGACCGTGCCCAGGATGGCACCAAGTTCTCACCGAGTTGGGCTGCGGTGACAAGACTCCTGAATTTAAGGCGTTTGTTCATTCCAGTGCTTAGATTTCTTCTGCAAAGATGTAAAGCATCTTAAGTTGTATTTCTAGAAATCTAAACAGACTTTTAGTATCACGATTTATAAATGGCATTCAGAATTCCACTACAAAGAACACAAACGGGAAACAGGGCCTGAGTGGTTTGGTTCAGGCATTTTACACGTCAAGAACGTGCTAAAATCGGATAGTTTTTGCCATTTAATAAACACTGCCTGGAAACCCCTTTAAGGGTTTAATGTTACCTTTCAGCTGCTGTGTTTTACAGGCAAGTTAAGGTTGACTCTAGACCAAGTTGTCCAACACATGTTTAAAATGAACCACCATCAAAAGGCATTGCAACAAGGGAGGGAACAAGGTGGCTAGTGGAGGGGCAGCAGATGCAGTGTGCTCTGGCGTGCGCTTATGTACGGAAACGGGACTGAAGGGGCCAGAAATCTCAGATGACAAATTGAGGAGCTTAGTCAAATACTGCACACAAAAGTAATTCTCTGGGTTAAAAAAAATACAGGGCAGAATCTTCATAACCTGTCGTGGTTATTCACCTTCCCTTGGCTGGAATAAACAAGGTGGTGGTGGGAGAACTAAAAATCAACATGAGTTTTAGTTGTGAAACTGACAACAGTCATTAAAGCTGGCTTATCAGGCCGGCCACCTGGAGGAACAAAAATGCAGCGGGGGCATTTTTGTCCTAAATTGTTTGCCTAAGGTTATGATTAGCGTTTCTACATGTACTGTAATAGAAATGGAATTTCTCTTTAGTCAAAAGCTGGGAAGCTTTGGCTCAGAAGGAAAATTTGAACAGGCTCAAAGATGGAGGGGGCGAGTGGGGGGATTGTTCAGGGGAATTTAATTTATTGAATGGCTCTTTATAATAATATACATGGACAGAAATTTAGTATAAGTCTAAAATTGGGCTTAATTTAGGAGAATCCATTGATGTGAATATGATCTTACGTCTCAAGCTTCTTAATGCCTTAATCAGTGCTTCAGACACAGCTACTGTTCAGAGCTTTAAAACTGACCATGTTCAATCACTGGTTAGGCTTTTTGTGATACAGTTCAGCCTACAGTTCTGTTTTCACTATTTACAAGGTGTTGGGCGTACAAAATAGGTATCAGGAATCTTCATGTCTGGTCAAACCAGACTGAGATTTCCAGAAACCTGAAGGGGTCTATTATGCTACAAAGATAATTAACACATTAAAATAAAATTCATAGGACCAATAGAGCATCTTAAACTTTTTCACACTTAGAAAAATATATTTTTAAATAGCAATCTACATAATCTCCCATCTTCGGGAAACTACGGACAGGCTAAACAGCAAATTCCTGAACGGCAAGTACTGATCTTTGGCAGCATTAAAGTGAATAGGGATAGATAAATAAATAAGAGTTAAGCCCTAATCCACCAAAAAGGAATTTTAATGGACAAGCTTTACAAGTGGACTTGTATTCATTCTTTTTGGAGGTCAGCCTATGGGGTGGCATACATCTAATAAATTTTCCAGTAGAGAAAAAAGCTATAAAAATTTTATTTCAAGAGCTTACTAAATTGTTCGACTTTGTAAATAAATGTGACCTTGAACACTTCGGTCTACATGTTAAACAAGTGTTTCTATTACACTACATCTTTAAATATTCGGTATGCTCTCCCAGTTAACTACTACTGCTGTCTAGAACTTTAACCTGTACACCACTGAAAAGGACTGTTCGTCATACTACTTTTTCATTAATGAGGCTATAATCAATGTTTTAATTTTTTAGCCATAGAGATGACTTCCGAACAGAAAAGGATCGACAGCTCAAAAATGAAAATGTAGTGATCATATATTACTAACTTTGGATTTGTTCCTGAATGTAAAACTGCCAGGAAAAAAAAATGTCCTTTATAAAAAGAGATTTATTGATGCTTAAGTAGCATTATCTTCTCCAGTAAAGCTTATGTGTGTGTTTCCTTAGGGAAAATAATGTTTGCCTTTTAAAAACTGTGATCCTCTAAGGTGATGGTGTGTTTCCTTTCCTTATGTAAACACAAGGATAAAATAAGTCATTAAGTAATGAACCTTGAAAATAAAATACAAATTCTAAAAAAGAAAAACAGTTTTGCTAAAGAGAGGATGAAAATTAAGCAACTTGGGTTTTTAAGGTTTTGTTTTTTGAGAGGCGCTGTCCCCTAAGCCTTCCTAGCAGGTCTGCCAAGTTTGCACACTCCCCCAAACTGGGGGGCTGGCTTTCACCGAGTATTTATTCAATCCTTTCTTAAAGTAATTGTCTGGCAGTGTATGGATTATGGACAGTTATCCAGTGCACACAACAAATATCTTGAACTTATCTGTCTTCTGTTTGGATGACTCTGGGCATTTATCCCTGTTAACAATCCTAAGTTAGCACCACTTGCCCATGCAAGGTTTGGTTCTGTTTTTGTTTTGTTGTTGTTAGTTTTTCCTCTTCTGTAATTCTGGTCTCCTCAGCATCCATATCTTTCAGTGAGGCATATGTACACATTTCCAGACAAATAAACTGCAATCAGAGAAAAAAAAAGCAGTGAGTTCATTATTTTTCTAGATTTTCAGAAGCTTAATGAGCTTTCAAATCAAATGTATAAAATTTTCATTAACTCCTTTTATTTTGTACTGCCACCTTATGTGCCGCCACGGAGCCAGCCAGTTATGCTACCTTACTCTGTTGTTGACTCAGAGTCTGTGCTCTAATATAGTGATACTAGATCTCTTAATAACTAGTAAGAGGCAGTCTGCTCTTCTTGGGCTGAGAAAGTCACCCACCTGCAGTCATCACCTCCAGCACTAACGACATGTCGATCACCGCTGGTAAATCGAATATTTGTTACATGAGGTGAATGACCCAAGAACCTTTTGTGCTTTGCCTGAAAAACAATGAAAAACAAAGCCCAGGATGTTATGTGAGGCACACAAAAATCAGAGGTTCCTATCAGGAACCCTAGATCTCCATCACAGGGGCTGTGAAGAGAGGTAGGCAGTTTGGACCACAGCCAATGTTACTAATGTTAGCTAATGGATCTGCACCTAACACAAACCAGGTTCTTGGGGTAGTACTCTGAACATTTTCCTCTGAGGAAAAGCATTTGAAACTTTGTAACTGAGTAAAGGTTTGATAAAAAGGCTAATCACAGCTTTATTAGGATAGTTTGCAAAGATGGTGTTACTTGGGGGCATGGGGAGATGATTTCTAAAAGCTTACTTCATTGTAAGGGATTTAGTAAGTTTTGAAAAAAATTTTAGGAACATAAGTGTTTCCAAATCAGGAGATGGTAACATATTTAAGCTATTAAATAATGGGGGAAGAAGTAGTAATGATCAGATGTCTAAATTGCTAGTAAAATTACATAAAAAGCAAAACCAGACACAAACTTACAAATTTTTCAGGACACGGGAAGTCAAATAACTTAACCATGCCGAAGTCATCTCCTGTTACAAGGCTGATTCCTGAATGAGATACGCAGGCACAGTTGACATTGGCTTTCTCAGTGTGTCGGGACCAGATTCCCATAACTTCATCCCCTAGAATACTAGAGGGAAGGAATAAAAGAAAACCCATAGCAAACATGTACCACACTAAAAACGTTTTTTGGTAATTAATCTCTACTTAATTATGATACTTTAAAAGGTGCTTATGCTTTAGGAATTTGATTAAAAAGATGACTGCTCATGGCTACCTGTTAAATAGCAAATTTATAAGGTTCCATTTCTAATAACTGCAAGACAGCGTTCCTTTAGATAAATAATACAATTGCTTAATAGTACCCAGTATGTGGTTTTATTGCTTGTTATTAAACCTAATGTGTTAACGAAAATATCAGGGCATCTTTAAAGGCTTTTAACCTTGATCAAGCATGGGAATGTGTTCAAGGAATATGTTCGATGAAGAGGCGTTCCAGCATAAGCCTTTCATCGTCCTCTTAGGAAGAATTCAAGATATGGTAACAAACATAAAACTCAACTACTGTTCCCTAGTGGAACGGCTCTAACTGTTGAGCAATAGGATTTTCCAGTTTTCCTGGCTGACCTGCAGTCGGTTCTTACCTCGTCCATGTGGCCCAAGTGATCCTGTCCATGGCGGCCTGATCCAGAACAGGTTTTCCTGAAGGCACTTCATAGACATGTCGTTTATAGCAACCAGTGGAGACCTTGCATGGTATGAAAATGGGACGAGAATTCCACTAGGTGAGAGACAGCAGAAGGCTATAGGATGCTAGGAAGGGGTGCGATCGGGTTTGCATTTCTAACTAACAATGACTACAGAAGTCTGTTAGAAAAAATGGAGAGGAGGACTAATAAGGATAGGGTATTACTGCAGAAACGGTGAAGAGTAAATAAAGGCAAGAGTTCAGAAGCTCTGGAACTCAGGAGTTCTGTCAGAAAGTTACCGCCCAATGTGTGGCTCGGACTCACAACTCCCAAGATCAAGAGTCGTATGCTCTGACTGAGCCAGCCAGGCTCCCCTAAAACTCGGGGTTTTTTGTTTGTTTTGTTTTGTTCTAAGATTTATTTATATGACAGACACAGCGAGAGAGGGAACACAAGCAGGGGGAGTGGCGGAGGGGGGAGACGTAGGCTCCCCGCCGAGCAGGGAGCCGGATGACGATGCAGGGCTCCATCCCAGGACCCCGGGATCATGACCTGAGCCGAAGGCAGATGCTTAATGACTGAGCCACCCAGGCGCCCCTAAAACTCAGTTTTAAATGCATCCACTAACAGTGTTAGAACAGCTAGTGTAAACTGGGTTTTATAGTATTGGTACCATACCTGGAGATACCTGCTGTCTGCAGAGAAGTCCATTTGAATGACAAAGCTGGGAATGTCTCTGCAGTAGCTGATTCTGTTAAGGGTGGGGCCCAATGTTAGGTCGTAAAAATCCACGGAGTTCTCACTAGAACCCACAGCCAGAAACCGGGAATCTGGACTAAATCTGGAGGGGTAATAAAAGACGTGAAAGACACATAAGACCACATGAAATTACATAAACATTTAAGACCAGTGACTTGCTTTCTACCTCTCAAAAATAAGTGTGTGTGATCTGGCCCCAAGTGGATTTACCCGATAGACACAACTGATTGTGTATACTGAGATTATTATATTTGTGTTACATGAAACAAAAAGCTTGTATTTCACTTCAATTTTAAGTGGCTCCTGAATTTTCATCTGCTGCTTGCTTTAAAAAGATAAGTTTTGAAAAAGCCACTAACAAATACATAACTCTTAAGTTACATAGGACACCAAATTTACCAAGAAAGGATTCTTTCATCTGGAAACATGGTATCTTCACAGCAAAAAACACAGACCAGATTAATTTGCCTCCGGTTATCAGATGAAGTGACACTACCTGAAGTTTAGAAGTATCTTGAGAGAGAAATACGTGCCTAGAGGTCATGGGAAATAGTATGGGACAATTCAGTTGAGGTTCTTTAGGGAAACGGGGGCCTGCGGGAAGTTTATATATTGAAATTCTGAGGAAGGTTTCATGTGTAAAAGGGTTTTACTAATGAAAAGAATGCAAGCTTTTGACAGAACTGGATTCAAAAATCCTATCTTGATCACACAGAGGTACTCAGTAAAGGGTAACCACTGTCAAAATAAGCTTATACACTGGAATATAAAAGTTCAAGAAAAGTTCAAAGTTTAATTCAGATTCTGGGGCATAGATGTTTGATGAGTATTTTTTTAAAAAATATTTATTTGAGAGAGAGTTGGAGGGGCAGAGGAAGAAGGAGAAGCAGACTCCTGGCCGAGCAGGGACAGAACCCTGAGATCAGGACCTGAGCCAAAGTCAGGTACTCAACCGACTGAGCCACCCAGGTGCCCTGATGAGTACTGATTAATTGATTATATATTCAATTAAGAGAGGGGCACCTGGGTGGCTCAGTTGGTAAAGCGGCTGCCTTCAGCTCAGGTCATAATCCCAGGGTCCTGGGATCAAGCCCCGCATCGGGATCCCTGCTCGGCGGGGAGCCTGCTTCTCCCTTTCCCTCTGCCTGCCTCTCTGCATCTCTCTGCCAAATAAATAAGATCTTTAAAAAAAAGATTCAACTAAGAGGTGGGGTTATAACTCTAGTTCTCTAGGCTGACAACTTATGAAGGACAGACGGCTCTCTTCTGTACAGTGGAACATAATTCTTGGACGGATCAACTTGCTGGACACATCCAGTGTGATACTTACTCATCAAACATTCCCTGAATACATGCTGTTATAAGGCACTGTGGTTGGTGCCAATGGGTTGATAATTTAGCAAGCAGTAAGTATACAAACAGCCACATTTCAGCATACAATTTATGATGCGATTAAATGCTATAGGCACTAAGGACCTGTTTTCGAATGTAACCCGGGTCATTTAAGAATATATATACCAAAAATTCTATTCCATTTGTTGACTAACCTTATATCATGGATTGCACATCGTCTATCTCTCTTCTTTCCCCATATTTTTAGAGAGCTCACCAGTAAAATAATAAATTCTCCATTTTTCATTCCAATAGCCACCATATCCCCTTCAGGGCTGTAACACACGGTACGAGCAGCATGTCCCAGATTCACTTTGTTTAACATCTTCTG